CATTGTCCAGGATTTCAAGGAGAAAATAAATAACACAGAAACTCCTGAGATAGGGGACTGTCCAGAGCACCTCAGATTGTATGAAGTTGTGCCAACGTTGGGTGTTTCATTGGCTAGAACTTGAGCATGCGGAGGGGTTAGAGGTTCTAGTTAGTGCTAGGGAATGTGCTCATTGGCACACTCAGCTCAGAGCCAGGAAGAGTCCACTCCTCCTACACTCAGCTGTGGACACTTCCTGGACAGGGTGGGTCCTTGGCACCTGTTTGAAGAAAGTCACAGACCTAGAAAGTTGAGAAGACAGAGAAGTGAGTTCTAGACACAAGGTACATTGTTGGCGTTGTGGGTTTGGCTGATTGGAATTTCCCCTTTTCCGTGTGACAGTGAAATTTGCTCAGTCGATGGGTCCCATTCATTGAGTTACTCAACAGGTGTTTGTAGAACATCCACCAGGGGCCGTGAAAGGCGCACAGGTAGACAGACAGCACCAGGTCCCCCCCTGCAGGACCTCACAAATACCCACAAGCACCACAGGGAGGGGAAAACAAAAACATTGCAGAGGTTCAGACAAGGAAGCCGTCACTTCTGCTTGGGGATGAGGCAAGTCTCGCAATGTCTTTGTAAGACCCTAGAAGTTGTGGAGGCTTTAAGGAGCTCACATGGGGCGTGGGGCTTTGCAGACACGAGGGCAGGATGGGCAGGGACCGTGCGGGAAGGCTGAGGGGTCGGCCTGTCCCCGGACGTGAGGGAAGGGGAGTGGGGCTGAGGAGGCAGTGAGACCCGTCTGTGCAATGGGATGCGGATGCCAGGCAAGGCGCTGAAACGTCATTTGGCAGGAAAACGGGGGTCGTTGTGGGCTTTTGAGCAGAGACGTGTGGAACAAGCTGGCAGGGGGGTGAGGCTCCCTTGAAAAGGGAGCCTGCGGCAGGCACAGGCTGAGGAGGCTGGCTGCTCCAGCTGTCCCCCGGGTGAGAGGAGCCCAGAGCCGAGGAATCCCGTGTAGTCCAGTTCCTGAGATGCCGGGAGTGGGGACAGAGAGCGGTGGGAGGGCGAGCCGTGGGCAGGGAGAGGGCTGCCCGCGCTCTGTGTAAGAAGGGGGAGGGAGCGCAGCAGTGCCTGGGGGCAGTGCACTCGGGTTCGGGGGAGGGGGTGCTTCTGAACTACCTGCAGACTCGGAGAGCCAGACTTAAATATCTGCCAGGCCCCGAGTGCGCAAAGCCACCTGTGACGGAGCAGCCTCACCAACACTGTGCGGCCCCTTCTACCCTGAGACCCCGGCGGCCAGAAACTGCACCTGGCCAGAGGGGTAGGTCGGGGCGGCTTCACTCGACCTCGAGTCCGAACTTGCCACCACTGTCTGGGACTGCTACTCTCTTAGTTGCCTAAGTGAGACTGTTCGCCGCCATCCAATGCGACCAAACAACTTCCTGTCGCCTCAGTGGCACAACCAGAAAAGTCCCCGACCCACCGGAGCTTTCACGCAGGGGCGGGAACAGGACCAGATGAAAAAGGGAGGCCAGAAATGTCGAATTTCAGGCTCCCGTGGGATTTGACCAGCACCAGAGCGAGAAGATGCCCTGGCAGGGGGTGGGCACTTCCTTGTCACCAAGGCTCTTCCTCTCTTCCCGGAAGGGCTGAGACAATTAATAAGCACTCACGTGGAAATAACTTTGAGCACAGTGCGGGGTCCCTGCAGGGGAGCCTGCTCCCGGGAACACAGACCTTAGGCTAAAGACATCGATCTCGAATTTTCAACGCCAGACATTAGCAAGGGCAGCGCACGTCCTCGTGGGGGGCGGGAAGAGGGTGCAAAGGTGACAGCGAGGACTCTAGTGCTGTTGGCCTGGGGAGGTCGGTACCCCCTCGCCCCCCTCATCCCCACGCAGTGCACTTGGGTCAGGAAGAAAGGGTTTAGGACCTGGCTTACTCAATAACTTGTCTGCAGAACCAAAATTTGAGGTCAACCAAGTTCCATTTCAGACCCAAAAGGGAAAAACGAACACCAAAACCTAACATCTGTTAAACCACCTTCCCAGTCCTTGGAGAAGCCACAGGGCACTCAATAAATGACAGCTCAAGCACCCTGGGTGGGTCACGCCCTGCTGGCTGCTCTGTCCCTGTCAGGCGGTGGAGCTGTGCCCCGGGTGCCGTCGCAGAACAACTGTACCAATTGTTATTCACCCTCATTTGTAACGATAAAGAAGAACACTGGCCTGTTTTATTCTCTCCCATTGTTCAAACAGGCATTCGTTCTTCTGTTGATTTCTGAATTTTAATTCTGGAAAATTCTCTTCTACACAATCGATCATTTCCCTAACCATTTAAAAAAAAAAAAAAAAGAAAAGGCCGCATAGAGTAATTCTTTTAGACTCAAACAAATATTTTAGGGCTAATGTATATGAATTGAAATCTAGTGGCACCAGGGTCAATTTTATGCCTTCAGTGTGGTCTCTGTTCATTTCTGATTGTGGCACGTTTTTAAGGCTTAACACAGGGTAAGGTTGCTTTTCATCTGACAGCAGGACTATCAAAGACAATGTCATATTGTATGACACAGATGCCTTTTAATGATCTTCTAGAGTCTGAATTCCTTCAGACTAGATATTAACACCAGGCTGCTATCACAGAGATTTAGTTAATCAATAGACTGAAGTGATCGATCTGTAATAGCCACTTGTCATAGAGGCTCCATGTCGTGGTCCCGAGGTGCCCCACCGAACACCGTAGACACGCCCTGAAAAGGTGTCTGTAGCCCGCTGCCCTGCCGTGTACCTCACAGCGGGGAGGCAGGCTGTTTTGGATCCAGAGTTCACTGCAGTGTAAATGTGATTCTTACTGTCACTTTATATTGAATCTCTAAAGGGAAGGCAGTCATTTTCTGACCAGTCTTTTATTCTCTTCGTGTCTCAAGATGAAGTACAAGTTGTGCCCGAGGCCACATCTTTCAAAATCTTCTTTCTCATTGCCAGGACTCGTGCAGGTGGGAAAATATTCCCTTTACAAGCCCAGGAGCAAATCACACCAGTGTGATTTGCCAGTTCCTTAAACGCTTATTTACCTTGAAGCTTCTCAGTACCCAGAATCATAAAATCAATGTTTTAAGAAAGGTTGGAAGCCCTATCTTTCTAAAGGGTATTAATTATGTTCGTATTTGCCTGAGACACTCAAGGAAAAGCACTGATTCTTTATGTTACACAGAGCAAAATTAGTTGGACCTGGGGTTCTTTTCATAAGGTAAATGGCTACTTTTGCAAAGGGGATTTCTGTAGGTCAGACACTCATATACCTGTATTTTTGGATGCACGTTCTTTATATCTTCTTGCTGTCTTTGCCAAATTTGCTTTCCTGCGAGACCCTCTGAGGATGCTAAAAAGGCCCTTAACTGTCTGGGAGCGTGGGCGGGTCACACTGTTGCGGGAATGGCAGTTAGTGGTTTTTTCTGCTTTCCTGTGAATCCAGTGAAGAGCGGTCACAAGTGGCAGAGTGTGACGTGGCGTTGTTTTGTGTGTGTGTGTTCGGTTCGTTTCTGCAGGTGGTTGGCGTGGGAGACAGGGAAGCGATGTTAGAAATGCCACCTGTCTTCGCCTGCGTAAATCACGCGAGTCTTCTGGAGGCTGCCTGCTGGCAGGAGACCCTGCCCAGTCGAGTTGGGGCTCACCCTCCACCTTCTTAAACTTGCTGGGGAGTCTCTGGGTTTCTTCAGAGCAGGGAACTCAGGAAAGGCCTCTGGTCTTCGGCTCGCAGCGAGCCCCCTCGCCTCTTTTTAAGACTGGTGTTCTAACATGCCAGTTCCTGGCCTTGGCAAAGGGGACCGTGGCCTGTGGTCCTCACGGCCTGGACATCCCCTTGCCATCCCATCAGGGGCCTCACCACCCCCCTGCACAGGGGTGGGGTGCAGCCCCCAATTCTCCCACGGCTGAGCCTCTGTCACCTCCTTGTCTTGAGCGAAGTTTTCCGAGCCAGCCTTTTTCAGCCCCGTTTGGTCTTCAGTGTCTGGGACAGTGTCACTGACACAGTGGGTGGTCGGGGGGGCACATTTCCACTCTGGATGTTACCATTCTGTGGTTCCACAGCATGTGCCTCGGGGCCCATGATGTCGCTGAGTGCGGTGACGATAGACCGACCATGGTCATTGCAGATCCCACCCTTCACTCAGCTCCAGGCTTCAAGCTCATTCCCGTTTGGCCTCTTGCCCCCTCTGTGGCATCGAGGAGCAGTGACAGCAGGCCAGGACGTGGCACTTGAAGTCGCCCTGGCCCCTGGGTGCCCAGAGCCCCGCTGGCATAGACTTTGGTCTGTCCCCAGGTCCCCTCTCCGTGACTCACCGCAGTCAGTCTGCATGTCGGCTCACGGGCCAGAATCTGCCAGGGGAGCCTGGGCACCTTCTTGAGGGGTGTGAGATTAGAACATCCCAGCCACCAAAGCCCTTGGAATCCTTTTTGGAAACTGTCCTGCACATGCATTTCCATCATCCATTAACCTCTTTTGGACAGATTAGCTCCAAAATGTTGAAAAATGGTTTTGCGCCTTTGGAGGGTGAATTCGCAGCTCTCAGCACTTAGTGCCTGAAGTGGTTTGACCGTGAGGAGAGGCCCGCTCGAAGCTGGTGTCTCCTTCTGCTCTGCACTTGCGGGGACGGGCGGAGGGTCACACGGATTCACGAGCGGTATCTGCCGTGCAGAGGGTGCGGGCTCTGGGCCCCGACACCGATCGTGCAGGCGGGCGTGTGGTTCTTCCACCAGCGTCCTGGCAGGGTGGCGCTGGGGCAGCCGAGGGCCTGGGTCGTTGTGACCGGGAAGGGGGCACTGAATCTTCTACAGGAGAGAATGTGGGCCTCCCCAGAGGTAAATGCTTAGTAGCATAGATGAATTTTTAATGGAAATTAATTTTGCTCCTCCAAAGTAACCTTTAGCTCCCTGGAAAACAGTCTGCTTACTGTTGAATCCTGACATTATCTTTCCTCTCTTTTTCCCCTCCCCTCCTCCTCCCCAACCTGTTGGCAGCTGCCCGTACCTAGCGGTGAAAATCACCCCTGCCATTCCCGCGGTTGGTGGCATTCTGTTCTTCTTTGTGATGGGGACCCTGCTTCGCACCAGCTTCAGTGACCCTGGAGTCCTCCCGCGAGCCACGCCTGACGAAGCTGCCGATCTGGAAAGGCAAATAGGTAACCCCGAAGGTCCGCCCTTAGCCTCTGACCCCTCCCCACCTGTGCTCAGCCCGGGTGTGGAGGCCGGGCCGAGGTGCCCGTGCCAGAGGGGCAGGGCACTGGACGGTGACGAGGAACCGGGGTGGGGTCCCCGAAGGCTCCCTTCGCTCTGCCGCAGGATGAGCTGAGTAGGAGGTGGGATGTAAAGCAGCCAGAGGTAAGGCCCAGGGCCGGCACCCCGGAGGCGGGCACGTGGTGCCATCAGCCCGGGCATGGCCACTGAGCTCCGCTTCCCGACGTTCCCGTGAAACCCGAGTGTCCGAGTCAGGCGTGAAGGTCAGTGCTTACCAGCGCCTGCTCTCCCTTCCCTTTTATGACCACCTTAGCCCAACTCTGGTCTTCATAGTATGAATCCGGGAAGGCTACAGCTAGGACTACTGTCTTATTTATGCAGCCTGGGATCCAGAATTTCTTTATCATGGCATAATAGACATACATATTTGTGATATATACTGAAGTGAAATTAAAAAGAAAGCTTTGTCTTGCCCCCAGTACTGTGCATTTGTGAATTCGTAGCTTTGGTGTGGCACATGGATAATCTGACAGGAGTGGCGGAGGGGCCAGGTTGGGACGAGAGGTCGATGACAGAGACGGTCCTCTCCCTGTTGCCCCAGGGCCCTGGGCTTCCTTGCCCAGGCTCGCTCAGCTGAAAGATCCCCGTGTGCACAGGGTAAGGAGGTATCAGTGTGGCCTTGGATGAAGCATCTGCTCTGGTCGGCCCTCCCCACGCACTGAAGCACAGCTGTGTCCTCCCCTGAGCACCTACCTCCACCGTTGTCCCTGTCTCGTGGGAGGGGAGCAGTGATGGAGTTGACAGTGGGAACGCATGGTGGGTGGTCAGGTGGGCAGCAGCCTTCTCGTGCCCTGAGGTATGGAAGAAGAGGAAGGAAGATCTCTTTCTGCTGCTGGGGAGACATCTCTTTCTTTGTCATTGCATCTTGGGATTTCAAGATGGGGTATTAGTTCATCATTTAGGGCCTTACATATATACCATGTTCGTAATTTGTAAAAGCTATCATTGAACTTGATCACTTCCAAGCAAGTTTGTGGGGAAGAGGTTAAATGGGAGAAAGTGGCAGCGCCAGCGCCTGGAACCCAGGTTTCCTGCATCTCGGCCCTCGTTCTCTCCAGGTTTGTCTTGTCAGAGGGGAGAGAGGGTGAGCAGGCCCAGTGTGTCCTTCCCCGAATAGAACTAGACTTGTAGTCACCACCTCGTCGGTGTCCAGGTCACAGCAGCGTGCATTCAGGAGCTCGACAACCCTCTACCCGAGGAGTGCGGTGTGTGCGCAGAGCCCAGCCCCCACACCGGTCACAGCCTCCTCCTGCTGTGATCCAGTTCTCTATGCCACCTCCCCGGTAGTGTGCGGAGCCTCTGCCGAGTCAGCAAGATTAGGACCCAGCCTTGTGTCTGCCTTGCGGGCGGGTGGGAAAGTGCCCCTGGGGCCTCTGTTAGAAATGCAGGCTCCGCGAGGCAGTTTCCATCCACCCTTATTAACACGGAGGCTGGTGAGGAGTTCACTAAAGCACACTTAAAATATATATATACTGCACACAGTTGATAACCTCAGAGCAATATTTTTCAAGGTAACTATTTTTTCTATGACTAGCGTTGCCCTTGCGCCCCCCAGAGAGAGAACTAGAGGGTGTGAAGGGTGAAACCCAGCTGCGTTGCCTGCCAAGGAGAGAGGCGGGGCTTCAGGGACAGGACTTGGGCGTGGCAGAAATGACCAGCTCAACACATCCTCTCCCCGAGGGGTAATGACAGCACTGACGAAAATAGTAATGACAAGTAGTAAGGACAAAAATAGTCAGAGCCCGTCATTTCACGCATTTGGAATGCGGCTGTACAAAGCAGAGGTTCTTGATGAAAAACTGCTGAACTTCAGATGAGAGCAGTGGGCATCCTGGCGTTCTCCCGGAGGCTGCTCCATCCCCACCCTGAATGCCAGGGGGAGGGGGGGAGGGGGTTCTACCTGCAGACCAGCAGCCTCCCTGTCTGGGGGGCTGGCTTGGTTGGGAGTGGAGAATGGGAAAAAACGGTAACTGGACCGCTCACCTCAAGAAACTAGAAAAAGAAGAGCAAACCAAGCTCAAAGCCAGCAGTAGCAAGGAAGTGTCAGAGATGAGAGTGGTAATCGGTGAAACTGAGTAGAGAAGATCAGTGAGGCCAAAAGATAGTTCTTTGAGGTCGACAAAATTGACAAATGTTAATTAATTATATCATCTCCTCCCTGCCAAAACCCATCTGCTTCCCCCACCCACTGAGAGAGAGAGAGAGAAAGGAGAGAGAGAGAGAGATAAATGACCAAAATCAGGAATGAAAGCCGGGATATCACCATCAACCCTGCAGAAATTAAAAAAGGATTTTAACTTTATGGCACAAATTAGATAACTTAGATGAATGGACAAATTCTTAGCCACAATGACAAAGAAATAGGACTCAAGAAGAAATAGGAAATCCAAAGAAACCCATAACAAGTAAAGAAATTGGTTGTCCATTTGCAAAAAGATGAATTTGAATCCTTACCTCATACCATATACAAAATTTAATCCCAAATGGATCAGAGACTGAACTATAAGAGCTAAAACTATAAAACTGCTGGAGACAACATAGGAGAAAATTTTCATGACCTTGGGCTAGGCATAGAGTTTTTAGATACAATACCAAAAATATGATCTGTAATAGAAAAATAACAATACATTGAATTTAATTAAATTGAAAACCTCAGTCCTTCAAGACAACATTAAGAAAATGAAATGACAAGCCACAGAGTGGGAAAAAATATGTGCAAATCGTGCGTCTGGTAAAGCATCTTGTTCTTATCTCTAGAATATATAAAGATCTCTTTCAACTCAATAATAAGGCAACAAGCCATCTAAAAATAGATAAAGCTTTGAACAGACATTTTATCAAAGAAGATATTTGTTCATCTCCAATAAGCACATAAGGAGATGCTGAGCATCATTGCACCGCAAATCATAACTGCAGTGAGATAACACTTCACACCCCTAGAGTGGCTCTAATCCAACGACTGACAGAGACAAATGCTGGTGAGCACAGGGAGAAGTGGGAACCCGCATGCCTGACTGGTGGGGATGGAAAACGGGGCAGCCCCTCCGGAAACCAGTTCCTCAAAACCCCTCCCGAAGTTGCGCACAGAGGTGCCCTATGACCCAGCAAGTCCCTTCCTAGGAATAGGTCCAAGAGAAATGGAAACACGTGTCCCCGTATGTACATTATACCTAACGGCCCCAAACTGGCCCCAACCCCAGTGTCCATCGTGGGGAAACTGGTGAACGATAAACACAAGGCGTATCCTCAGATGAGATACCAGCAAGCAACAAGAAAGAGCCAAGTGTTGACATTCGCTGCAACATGGGTAGACCTTAAAAACGTCACGCAGAGAGCGAGCGGCCAGGTCAGAAGACCGCATATTGGGTCTGTGTGGTTCTGCTTACATGAATGAAGTGCCCAGAAGGAGCAAGTCTGCAGAGACAGGAAGTGGATCGGGGCTGGCCTGGGCTGGGAGGAGTGGGTGTGGACAGAGCTCTCTGAGGTCGTGAATCGCTCTAAAATGAGATTGCAGTGAGGGCGGTGCAAGCTAATGAAGTACCAAAAGCCAAGCCACTGCCCACTTACAGTGGATAACAGTTACGATGTGTAAGTCACGCCACAGCGCACCTGTTAAAAATAAAAGGGAGGAAGAGAGAGGAAGGGAGAGAAGAGGAAGGTGGGCTCCCACCCTCAAGTTGCCTGACCTTAGGCATGTCATTCATTCTCTAAATGCCACCCCCGCCGTGTTCTGATCTGTCAGTGGGAACAATGACACGCATCCTGCAGAGTTCTTGTCAGGGCGAGCTCCATGCACGGGAGCGTGCTTGGAGGAGGAGTTCTCCTTGCCACCCAGTTCTCTCTCACCTTCCACGAGCACAGATTCCCATAAAAAGCGGCCTGCAGCGTAACAGGCGTAAGCGGCAGAGGTGGATCAGAGCGCTCTGATACTTCACGAGGAGTTCCGCCCTGTGTTTCTCGACTGTGGAACGTAAGATTGGGTCTCAGTGAAAGCTTAGCACATTTATTTTTATGCGCTGTAACTAAAAAGTGAAAAATGAGATGTGGAAACTTCTCATTATTAGGGTTATTAATTCTGATTATCCGTAGTACACCTCTATGTATAGAGGCCCGTAACAGCCACTGGAAACCAGCCGGCTGAGCACCGTCATTTGTTAGAGCCCCGCCAAGGACCCTCACTGCTTCCCCACCTGCAGCTTCCTGGAGAGGAGGAGGTGGTGAGCAGGACGTTCTGTTCTCAGAGTCTGTTGCAAGTCTCTTGAAAGGCCCTCTTTTTCTGAAGGAACTTTCTCAATAACTTATGTTGCAGCTGAAAAGACAGCAAAGCATGGCAGCAGGGGTCCCAGGAGGTGTCGCCAGGTTCCCTAGAATCCCACTTGGAAACTAGTCTCAGAAACTCAGATTTTTAAAGTTCACTCAGGGGCAGTCAGACACGAAGCAGCTGGTTTGGGATCAAAGCGTTTTGTTTCCATTAGGGATAGACCTTTCCAGGGAGCAAATCAGGGAGAAGCAGCAGGCTTACCTCTGCTTACCTCCCCGTGCCTGTGTTCTCTCTTCCCTGTCCCTGGACAGTGCTAAGGACACGAAAGCCAGGATGGCAGCTTGGGCTGAAAAGTGACCTGGTCTGCCTGTTGAGTTCCGAAAACGAGGCTGGCTACTCAGGAAACTCTCTCCTGTGTCCAGGTAACCCTGCTGCCAGGAAGTGCTCTTGCTTGGTGAGGATGGAATCAGATCAGAGGAAGCCGGGTGGCCTTTAAAAAGTCACCTGTGTGAATAATTATCACCTCCACTCTGCACCTTTTTGCTGCCCAACTAGAACACCAGTCCGCTGGACACAGTGCATGCGTGTGCTCATGTGTGTGTCTCCTCTCTGTCTGTGTCGGGC